TTTCTCTAAGACAAGAGGAACTGTAGCATCCATGATAGTTTGAACAAGTTGTCAAGAGTTCCAGTTTTCAAGGCTTCCACGCTGTTTATTGATTTTCAGTAAACACACCTCAGCCCTCAAGACTAAGATTGCTATGTTCTTCTGAAACATCGGTGTGTTGCTCAATAACACTCCAGCATGGGGAGAATGGAGTGTGAACAAAGGAGGAGATGTGGTTTCTCTCGCTGTATAAACTCATGGTTTATCTGTCCTTAGATATTACAGTTCTAGTTTCTCTATGTCAGAAAACCATAGGAGAATCAGTAAAGAGTGCTTCTTGGTTTGTTAAATATATATGGACTTGTCAGCCATGAAGAGAGTAAGCACTGGAAAAGTATCTGGTGGCACTGAGGAGGTACACAGAGCCCCCTGACTCAGGAAGATGAAGCAAGCAGGCATCAGGGAAAGACCCCATAGTAATCTGGCCTTATGCACATGCATGCAGTCCCAGCCTGGGAATGCCTTCCATGCTGCTGCTGCCATTGCTGACACAAAAACAGGCATGAGAGCTCGTAGGAAGAAAAGGCCTTTACAAAACACAACACTCATCACTTTGACTTGGGGAGGGTCTGGACCCAAGTCTGGAAATGCATCGATGTTGCCTTGCCCTTTTCTTGTGCTAAGATAGAGGGCACTGGGCCCTCAAGGTTTTTTGGGGTCATAAGGTTGTTCTTACACCTGTCTGTTCTTACAATTAGAAAGCTGTTCCTATCCATGTTTATGTTTCTGGGCAAAAAATTGTGGCTGGCTTTGTATTCGTGTATGCAGAGAATCGACTGTCTCTTCTTAAAACCTTTACCCATATTTGTAGGTGATTATGCCCCATCTCATCAGCTCCTCTTTAAGCTCCTGCTGGTTCATTCTTGGCCCAAGTAAAACAGTTCTGGATTCAGTGCTCTGCCCTGAGTGCTTTCTAAATAGTTTTGTAGTCCACAGGTTTCTGAATTGAGGTCCCAAGACTTTAGTGAAACTTATACAACATGACTTAATATTAGGACAAAATAGTCAATACTTGCTAATATCATTTTCTCTTGAGGTGACAGCTTTCCCTTCCTTCCTCTCAAATCAGTTTGTCCACATTCACTGACCTTCTGTTTTTTTAATCTGCCTTTTCTTGTCCTGATGCACTGGAAATCCCCTCCTGTCTCTGCACTCACTAGAAATTTAGCCTGTTAATCTAATATTGTCTAATATTGTCTAATAAGTCTAATATTGTGTCCAGCATGTGTTTTGCATCCCATCCCCAGCATCTTTTTACATGTGGTGGTTTTATCTGTTTGTCGCTTTGAAACCTTCAAAAAGTCACTTTGGGAATTAAACTCTTTCTGTAAGTAATAAAAATTAATCTAACACATTTTTTCTATGTAGTACAGTTGAAAGTGATTTGGAATGTTTTCAAAGAGACAAAAGGCAAATATTTGCTGTGATGACAAAGGGTACAAAGCACATGAGTGGTGCTGTGATTGACACCTGTCCAAAGGAAGGGCATCCTCACTCTGCCTCCTGGCAGAGGCTCACAAGATACTCCAGTTTAAGCACAGGAGTATTTGTTGGTTTTGAGTTATCCAAGGAAGAAATGAAAAGAATCTGCAAAGAAGGTTAAGTGGAGTTTCAGGTAGTGCCCAGTAGCATCCAGCATGGCCCTGGTTACTCCAATACTCTTGTTTGTTTTCACAAACCAGCACCTCACGGTTTTGGAGCGGTTGACCGCTGCGAGGAGACCATAACCTCTTGATTTCAAAGGAGCCATCGTTTCACTGGTGCCTCTGTGGTTAATGCAAGAAAGGTGTCTTGCCATAAACTTTTTCCGAGGTATTCAGCAAGGTTGGGAAGGGGTCGGCCCAGGCAGGAAGCCCTTGTCTGTGCTATAAAGAAAATAGCAAGCAACAAAATGAAAGCATCAAAGGACCAACAGGATGCGGTCCCAGGAGTCCTCTCTGGCATGTTAGTCCTTCTTGAAAGTTAGCATTGAGTGAAGAGTGACCTTAAAACTCCCTTCATTCAAACAGACTGGGCTCAAGTTTAAAGTTCAAGGCATTTTGTTTTTTCACCTGTTTCCTACAGTTTTTAAGAAACTTCTGAAGAATTAATGTGTAACTATATCTGGTCACAGAGCCAATGCAGAGAATTTTTCTCAAGGGAAAATAATGTTACTGTATGGAGTGAGAGAAATGGATACTTTCTGAGTTAGGTTTTATTTTGTTGAAACTTTTTCTCCCAAACCCACTGAGAGCATGATTGCAAACAGCCCTGGAGCCAGGGTAATGCACGGCTCTGGGGCCATGCTTTATTTTTAAAAGAAGCTGGTAGGGTCCTATAATTGTCTGAATTGTGCTTAAAAAAAGGTGTTTTTTGCCAAAGCTGCTGTGGCCACTTGGGAAGCAAGGTCTTGTTTTGGGCACAACCTGGGAGCAGAGAGCCTGGTTGCAGCTTCATCTGCGAGTGCAGGGTGAGTGAGCCAGCAACTGGCCCCGTGGCCGCCCACCCTTCTCTCACCCTGCTGGAGCTGTTTGGGCCTCAAGAGGGAAAACTAAAGCCCTGACCCAGAACTCCATTGGTGGGTGAGGGTGGATGTGGATACAGTGCTGCCACCCTACCAGCACTAATGCCGACTGGCAACCCAGGCTCCTGGCTGGCACCACTTGTGAGCCACTTTTCACCCAACACCACCTACCTGTGTGATGCTGAAATAGTTCCTCTATTTTCTGATCTTTGCATCTTGCCTGATGCAGCAACTAGTTACAGATCCCACAAGCGATCTGGCAGGTCATCTTTCATAGCTAAAAGAAATAGTTTGCAGAGATGACGTACAATTTCACTCGTGTTTCCCCATGCCATTAAATTTTAATGATTCTGATATGAATATTTCATGAAAGTACTTTCTGAATGAGTTTGTTTTGTCTTGGCAGCTAATATTCAGTGTAAGTCTGGGCGAGTTTTGTTTGGTTTTTGGTGGGTTTTCTTTTCCTCTCAGGTGGTTTAGTGAAGGTAAGAAGTGTCAAACTGGATCAAGTGAGAAAATGCAACTTCTTGTTGGTGATTCAGCGAGGGGGTGCCACCTATAACTCTTTTCAGCTGCGTAGTGGAAGCCTGTGAAATGACCCTCAAATACAAATCTGCTCTGTGCTCTCCTGCCACAAGGTGGCTAAAACTCTTTTAAAAGCCCGGGATTTGCGAGTGCTTTAATGCTTTAAGTGATGTGAATACATCTCAGCCTTTCTGCAGTGCAACACTCAGCACAGAGATCTATTGCACAGAAAATTGTGTATGTCTTACTGATATGGAGCAGTGATTCAGGAAATGTTATTGCCAAGTTTATTTCAATCCCTCTTTGGCTGGAGGGCTGGGTTTTGCTTTGTTGTTGGTTATTTTTAATAGAAGAAGTCATTGTGCTCAGTCCATCCAGCATGAGCAACAGGGCCGCTGTGGGGCACAGAAATGCCAAAGGGAGCTGTGGCTGAAACTTCGGCTTCCCACTCTATCTCCATTTGTACTGCCTGCTGAATCAATCTGCTCAAAGCCTAGATCAGAAACACTTGCCCCAGCCTGGGTTAGCAAGTTCCTTTGTTGCTGTTGAATTCTGTGGACCCTGCACTGGGATGATGGGTGCCTTTCTTTAAATGGGTGATGTTTCCCAACAGCCAGCTGCTGTGCCATCAGAAACAAGGAAGTTGTTTTCACCAGTTTCAGGAAATGGTGACAGTTCTCTGTGAACTTTTTGGAAGCTTATCTCCAGCTGTACAGTAGGGACAGGGCTTTTGTTTAATGGAAATGAAGCGTATCTTTTTCTTACAGATGCACCACTCACTATAGAGCTTTTTATGTGCGTTTTAGGTTTCCCTTTTTATTTTTTAACTTATTAACTCTGACAAGTAACCTCTTGGTTGTGAACAATTTAATTCACAATTCATTTTTCTGATTCAAAGTGAACACGAGTGCCCTAATCCCCTAATGGGAATTAATTGCATGTTTCAATGCTTAACTCTGATCCTTTCTCAATCCCCACTGGGACAAGTTTCTTCCTGAAGGATCTGTGTTTGTTATTCAAAACACAATCTGAAAGGTAATGATTTTTCTTATAAAAGAGACTCGGGCCGACTGAATATTAATGCTCTTTTTATTGTGAGGGAATGAGCTGCATCCAAGAAAAAACCTCGTTTATGTCATGAAGGATAAATTACTCTGAAGTATATCTGATAAAATATGGGGGGAAAAATCAGTGTGTTCTTATTCCCCTAAGTGAAAGCAGTTTGCCAGTAAATGAAGGCACACACTGTTTTTGCTTGGAAAGCTGTATTTTGATACAGAGAAAAACTGTTTGCTTCACCAAAGGGGAAATTGCATGGCTACTTAGGATTTTTAAATGACACTGTTCTCAGCCAGCAACACACCCTTTTGGATAACTGACCAAACGTAACAGTTGACCAAAATAAGAGTAAATTGCAGAAAATAGAATAAATTTCTACTTCCAGACTGTTTTTAAATATGTCTCAAACTTGAAATACATTATTTAATGACACCTCTTTCCAAGAGGAGCTGGACAGACTTCTCTGATGTTGGATGTCTGGCCGAGCTGGATGACTGTGGATGAGGCAGGCTCTGCCCAGTCAGTGACCACAGGTAAAATCTGGGAAAACATCACAGTGCAAGAACTGCTTACCCTACAGAAATAATGGAGGACAAGCAGGGCACAGTGGGAAAAAATAATGCAGGAACTATGAAGGTACCTTTCCCCCCTGTTATGTTTCAGTAAAGCCAGTCTTTTATCCCATTTAAACCAATTTTGAGTGTTTCATGCTCACAGATAAAGCAAATGATCGTTCAGGGTCTGTTTTCAAGAGGGGGCTCATGTGTAGACCAGTTACGTGAGGTGATTTAACACTTTGGGGTGTCTGTCTGGGGAAGAGAGGAGGAACACAGCCTTAACTGGTCTCTCAGCCAGCAGCCAGTTTCTCCCCCAGCCCCACAGCTTCATGTTCAGCATTGGGTCCTCAGCAAGCGGGACCTCGGTGCTGACATTATTGCAAATCCACCAGCACATCCATGAGATGACTCCACACCAGGTTACACTTGCTTTTGAGGAGTCACTGAGCAAGACACCACCCACTTGCTGCAGCACAACTCCCATAAAGGTGAGAGAGAAATTAATAAAGATTAAGAAAGCTTTTTCTGGTGGTTGATGTTTGGGATTCCTTAGAGAATGTAATTTGGTTACAGCGAAGAACTGCAAAAGGCTGACTTTCTCCTGGTCTGTTTTTCACTGATGCAGTTGTTGTCTGAAAAGTTTCAAGATAGTTGAATTGAGTGTGATACTTAAATGTGGTATGGGACTATGAGACTACTTTTGCACGTGGCCAAACAGCCTTTTGTTCAGGAGGTGCCTTGGCAGGGCCATGGCACTCCAGGGCACTGGCCCTGTTGGTAATGTAACTCTTTTTCTTTCAGCTACTTTTGGAAGTACTATGGCCCGTGTCTTTGTCTACGGCACGCTCAAGAAGGGCCAGCCCAACTACAAGCACATGATCAACACGGCCAAAGGCCTAGCGAAATTCCAAGGAAGAGGCCACACAGTGGAGAAGTACCCACTGGTGATTGCAGGGAAATACAATATTCCTTACATGCTGAACATCCCGGGGACAGGCCACCACATTGCTGGGGAGATTTACACTGTGGATGAGCAGATGCTGCAGTTCCTGGATGAGTTTGAAGGCTGCCCAGACATGTACCAGCGCACCCTGATGAGAATCCAGGTGGTGGAGTGGGAAGGGAAGGGCGGCGCGGGAGAGGCGCGAGCAGCGGCCGACGGCGTCCTGGAGTGCTTCGTGTACAGCACGGCCACGTACCCGCCCGAGTGGGTCGGGCTCCCCTACTATGACAGTTACGACTCCTCGGGGAAGCACGGCCTCTCCTACGTCCTACGGGAAAGCCGGGAGTAGACGGGAGGTGATGCAGCCTGGCCGAAGGCATAGTGCTAAGCAGGTGTTGCTCAGTAACCTTTCCAGGAAAGCTGTAATACCTTGTTATTAAAATGCAGGAGCTCTTGTAACCTTCCCAACCCAGGAGCCTTGGCACTAGTGTTGAAGTCCCGTAGGCCCAGGGCTGCAGACTCCTCCCCAGGCAGTCAATGTCCTCCTGGCCCCCTCAACCTCCTGCAGGTAACTGGGTTAGCACCAGGTGTAAAATAACTGTATGTGCACATCGGGTCTGGGGTCTAATTATTCCCTCAGCTTCCCCCTTTGCCTTGGTGCATAATAATGGAGGTCAGTGAAAGGCAGAGGAACAGATTTAATTTTTTTCCCCTGAATTGACAAATTTTCTTGCACTAATATCTGAAACTGATTTAAATGTCTGCAAAGTAAAGCACAACTCCTATTGAATATTGACTTGTAATGGGTTAGTAGGCTACTGTATGTAAAAAGGGAAAGCTGATCAGATAACTTGGTGCTTCTAGACAAATAGGAAATTGCTGGAGAAAATGTAAAGATTATTCTTACTCTGCATTGCAATGTTTTTTTTCTGAACTGGAAAGGTGTATTTTTAAACCACGTTTAGTTTTAAAAGGCACTGTCAAGAAATACTGAGAGAATATAAGAGAGTTAAATTTAAAATTTTATTTTTAATTTTACATTCTAAGCACTTTGGGTTCTGGTCCCGTTCACTGCATGACTGTAGGATTTGGGGATATGTGTGTCTGTGTGCCTGTGTGTGTGTCTGTTTTGAGGGATGTCGGGACTGTTGGGGACCAGGAAAAGCAAACCTACACTGGAGCTGTTGTGAGCACTTACTGTCAAGGTGACTTTTTGCTAAGCATTTTAATGCAGAACTTGCAACCATATGCAAACTGAGTTTCCTAATGGGGGAAGAATTTTATATACATTATAAAAATATCCAAAGGACCTGTATTGTGATTATTGCAACATTTAAATTGGGAAAAAATATGTAAGGAAGACTGTTGTCCCCCTGACCCAACCAACTGTGCTGGTTTCTGTACAATCTGGGAAAATCGTGGCTTTCTGTTGTTACACTCCTGTGCCTTATAGTTTCCTTCAGCTGCAGTGTTTGGTACAGATAGATTGTACAGTGGCCAAAGCTGCCAAAGGGATGGGAGCAGGCATTGTATGCCATGCAGTGAGCCAAAGTACTATCAAATGCAGCAAGGCTACAATTAAGAACAATACTGTACTTTTGCTTCACTGCCAGTAGCCCTGTGATGGCCAGAGGAGATCCAGGGTAGGGAATCAGCCTGAACTTTAGCAGTAGTAGGCACTGCTGCATCTCATTTAGAAAAGCTTCTATATTGCTGCAATAAGCAAAACAAGTAACCTGATAGTAGAATACTTGTGTCTCTTGACAGTATTTGTCTGTTTAGTGCAACCTGCAGAGACTGACCTGTGCTCCTTTTGGAAGGGGTAAAATGGCAGTAAGGAGACTTCTAAGGAGATCTGCAGGGTCTCTGCCTCAGTTTCTCCAACTGCAAAAGCATTAATTTTCCTGGAAAGCAGGTAGCATCCAAACACTCTCCTTACTCATCTTGATGACTTTCCCTAAGCAGATCCCTGGACTATATATTCCCCTTCGGCCATGTGATGTAGTTAATTATCAGTGTCTCAGTAACAGTAACAATGCCTTTTCAGTCAGAAGTTTCAAGCAGAATCAAGCTTTCCTGGTTGAACATGAGTCACCAGCCCTATCACTGACTGTTTTCTTCCACAAAAGGGCCCAGGCACCTCTGGCTACAGGATTTCTTTCTGGGAAGTAGCAGGACTCTGCACATCCTAGGCAAGAAAATGAGAGCAGGGTCACTCCACTCCGGGGCAAGGTCCCTTTGTCTCCCTTTCCTGTAAGCATTCAGGAGGAGGCCTGGTCTGAGGGACAACACATGCTCTTAGCAGTACCTTGGGGCAGCACCTAAAGAGCTCTGAGAACAGTGTCAGCTCCTTCTGTAAAGGCATCCAGTAATCAGTATCAGGAAAATAAGGGTGGGGAAATTAATATGGAATTTGAATAAAAGAAGACAATTCCCATACAACTTTGAATGAAAATACATGACAAATGTCTGCACTAGCAAAATAAAGCCTCTAATGTGTCATTTAAATCTAATCTATACAAAGCATTAAAATATAATAATATATATTTAAAATAAAAATTAGTTAATAAATAATAATTCAGTAAATATATATGTTAATTCAAAATAAATCTGATCAGAATTTAAGCTATTGGTGGTACTTGTGCAGCACTTACACAGAGTAAAGGAGAACTGCTCAGTTTGCTCAGTGGTTAATTTTTCATTCTTGCCAGCCATTCTGTATACTGCCTGGCTGGGGCCTCAAACCAGGGACATTGCTGTGGAGAAGACAAATCAGATTTTGGCTTTTGTTGTGTTTTCTTTATTTTAAAAAAGAGACTTTTCCTGTTTCAAAGCAAAAATGGTATTTTATTGATTTTATTTGATCCTGAAAAATCAAAGCATTACAAAGGTTATGTACAAGTATTTCTGGAAGTAAAAAATCTGGGATCTGTTGCCAAGATTTAACATCTGTGTTTGCTGTCTTAACCACTAATACAGTAAATATGCCTGTATAAAATCTTGTGCGTAGTACTGTCCATTTTCTGTGTTGAATTGTCTTAATGTTACATTACAGATAAAAATAATAAAGGCTTAGTTAATTCAACAGTGTGGAGGCAACCTGTCATTCCAGTTCCACCAGCAGATCTTCTTCTCCAACGGTGTCACCAGCTTTGCAGTGCACAGCTTTCACCTAGGGTACAGAAACAGCAGAATTTAAATCCTTCCTTGATATCCAGGTGAAATAAATGGCTTGCCTGATGTGGCTTGTATTGCACAGAGCACTGCATCTGCATGCAGAGGGTGATGGCCACTTTGCAGCCTGAGGACACCCCAGGGACACAGATCCACCTGTGCTGCAGGGGCCTCGAGAGGCTGAGTGCTCGAGCTCCTGTGCTCAGAGCCCAGCTGAGTTTTGAGTACCAGTGCTTGACTAATGGTGTCCAACCCCATCAGGGTACTCAGACACCTACCATTAGCTGGTTTGCTTGCAACAGAGATGCTTGAAGACCTGAACATCAGATAGAGATGCCACTTTCAAAAATTAAAAAGCACCTTTATTTCACCTGGTTGCACTGCAGTTTATTTGTTTTAAATAGAGGACAGGCTGATTCTTCAATACTTATGTTGGGACGTTGTAATGAAATATTCCACAATTTCTTTAATTACGGTTTTCAAATATAGCAGAATCTTGGAACTGCAGCCATGAAGTGGGTTTCTCTCAATCTCCAGAGAGCTGGGATAGAGGATTCAAATCTGAATTGGGATCCTTTAACATAACTGAACTTGGCAAAGGGCTACCACTGTCAAATAAGTGCAGCTCTATCTGTAGATGAATTACATACTCCCATGCAGATTCCTGAACTTTAAAACACAAATATCTTACACTAGTCCCTCATTTCCTCTACAAAAGGCTACAACATGTTTGTATTCCATTTCAGCACATGAAGCCATAGAAAACAAAAAATAGAAAAGCCGTATAGATTTTGCTTCCACTATTAATTCAGAAGTCTCACTGATATACCCAAATCCTTATTCAGCAGATAGCTCATTTTAATTATCCAAACGCTACCCTGGGCTTCTGAAGGAAATGCACAGCATACTCCAAGTACCAGGCTATCTATGATGGACACACTATTGCTCACATCCACGACTGATGAGCTATAAGCAGATCTCTGCCTCTGTAGCACACTCACAGCACTGCTCCAGAAATGATGCTGAGCACAGGCAAAGACAGTGTGGTATGTACAAACAAGGACTTCATTTCTAAATCAGTAGCTGGGCAGCGTACCCAATTGCTGAGCCTCAATCTTCTAGGAGATGAAAGCAGTGTGAAAAATATTCTACCCCTTGCTTTTCTTTTTCTACAAAGCCAAGGTTGAGCAAACATCAGAGCTAGCCAGTGTTTCAAACTCCCCAGCCATTTCTGCCGTGCAGCGGGGCCGGCTCCTTGTGCTGACCCAGGCACAGCTGACCCTGCAGAAGACAGGAGGCTCACCAGTTCCTCTCCAGCTTTCTCGCATTTTTAAACCACCTGCAGCTGGAGTAAACTCAAAGCAGATAAAAACAAGCCACTTTTCTCACAATTACAAACAGGAAGATGGGGTTTGATACAGAAAAGGAATTCAAGTCAGGAATGAAAATGGGAACGTCTTCCAGCTGAAGACAAATGAACTGAGTTTCAAAACACAGTTTCAAAGCATCAAAACATGGACTAACAGCCTGTGCCAAACATCCCATTCCTGTGGAGAGGCCAAGTTATTTTAGCACTCAGAGCCATGACTTTGCACTGCAGAACAGGATGAATTCTGTTTAGCAGCTTCATTTCTACAAAACTTTTGTGCCTATTCAAATTCTTAACATTCTAAAGGTCAAGTAACGTGCTTGCTATTAAAATGGGCGCACCAAGGGGACATTGCACAGCACATGTGAGGCCTCCTGGATGGCCTGTGCACCTTTCATATCCAACCTTGGAGGGTTAATAAACCAAACAGAAGTTTTATTTTGCATCTCTACTGAGTGGGAAATATTTATCATTAGGAGAATTACAAGCAGGTTGGTAAGGAACAGATCTATGGACTGCAGAACACCTTGGTGGGAAAGGGAAGGTTAAAGTGAAAAATAAATGGGGTGGGGTGGGAGAAGGAATGGCATTTTAATTACAAATACTTGTTAAAACCAGTGGATGCAAAGAGCAGCGATAAGGGATTAAATAATGGCAGATGAAAAACTAAATGCTTGGAAATATTAATCAAGTGAAAAAATAAATTATATAAACATTAATGCATGAAATAAAATAATAAAGTGGCAATGTTAGAGCAAAAAGAAAAGGAACATTCTCCTTCTCTCAGTATTTTTTTCTCTTGAGACCCAATTTTGCACTGGATGCACTGGAAGAGGCAAGTCCTGGGACCCAGCCTCGGTGACAATTTTAGAGCTGTGCCAAAAAAGCCTTTCTTGTAAACACACAAACAGTCCTTGGCATTGAGAGCCATCCTGAGATCTCAGCGAACCTTGCCAGTGGCAAACACGGTCCCTGCCTGCAGAGTCAGGCTCCCTGCTGCCTCCATGCGGGCTGAAGGCTCCTGCCCTGGGTCTGGGCCTCAGGGAGAGCAGAGGGCTTGACCCCAGGCAGAGATGGGCTAGGGCAGGTTAGGAAATATGCAATAGAGGAGGATATATAATCCAGATCCACACTATGCTCTCCCATTGGAAAGGATGGATCTGGGGCCCATGTCTAGGTGATGGTTTCAGGCTGTGAATTATTATCTGGCACAGGGATGTTCTGAAGTCCTAACTTGAGGTCTGACAGTTCTCAGACCAACTGGGGTTTAGGGCATGCCCTTGTCACATAAGCTTAACCAGTTCCCTGCCCAGAGTGCTGGTTTTGGCACATCCTACACTGCAGCAAAGTCCCAGCTCCAGGGCTGCAAAATCAGAAGCAGGATAGCAGGATAGCCTAATGCACAGCCTTGCAAAGCTTAACAAATGTGCAGATCTAGGCTTGATCTTTAACAGTCACAATAATAAAAAATTGCTGTTTTCTCCTTCCTGCAAAAGCACTTTCTATGCCTTGTTCTGGGTGGTCTTTTTTAATGTCAAATTATTTGTCATTAAATAATGAGCTGGCAAAGAGATCTCTCTTCTTCAGTTGCTCTCTGGAAAGATGAAATTTGAAGAAATGGTCTGCAACACCTTTCAATTCAACTTGGTATTGTAACATCACAGAAAACAAATCATTTAGGAGAAAGAGAGTTATACGAATTTCCAAAGCCAGTAAAACTATTTCCTGCTGTGCTATCTAAGGCTCGGAACTACTTAACAGCATTCACAGCAGATGCAAATGTTACAAAATTAAAGACACCTCACTTTGAAAGACTTACAACAATCAGACTTAATTCCTTAACAACCAGAATCCTCCTTTTTTCCTTTTAAAATTCTATCCTGTTTGACAAGTTGCATATGGTTTTAAGTGACCTATGGTGGCTTACCTTGCCTGTTTTAGCAGCAATCATACTGTTCTGCATTTTCATTGCTTCAATTACACAAATCTCTTGACCTTCTGAAACCTGGTGAAATTCAAGCAGTACAAAATGAGGATAGAGGATTTGAAATGTTCTAAGTGTGATGATTCTTAAGGAAAATAAAAGGATTATTTCATTAAATGCTATAAAGACTTTCATGACACAAGTCAAGTCAGCCAGTTACACAGTCACCACACAAATGACAATCACAGAACTGGCACCAAAATGGGGGGGGGGGGGGGGGGAATCACCTGATTAAAACTCTCACCTTCTTAAAACCAGGCAAACCTGAAAGGCTTCTCTCTCATCCCATCCATTCAGTTCCAGCTTCCACAGTTCACATTCCACAGTTACCACCACCACAGTTCAACATCGTTTAAATGCAGAGCAAAAATTAATTTGTGCATTTTTGGCTGGGGAACTTCGGCTTTGCTTCCCTGGCAGGGCCCACAGATACTCATACTGATTCAGAAGCCTAAAGTCCCTTGGCAGGTGTCCGGGGGAGCTTGGGCTGGAAGGTCCAGCAATACCCAGAGGGCTGATGCTGAGGAGAATGTCACATCTCTGCACGTGGCAGCCTCTGCTGGTGGCTGATGTCTTTGGACTGACAGAAAGGAGAACATCAGTGAGGAGCCACCAGCTCTCATCCACAGGGGAGGCACCGCAGAGATAAACACATCACTTTCACCACAGCTCAGAGCTCTTAAAAGGAAACACTGAGGTTTCCTCTTTCTGTTTGTTTGTGTCCTGCTAACAGGCATGTGCAAACACAAGGTCACCAGGAACTCACTGGGCTGCTCTACTGGGCTCCCTGTGCCTCCCAGTCAGATCCTCCCTCCAAATGTCTTGGACCACCTTGCACAGAGGAAACTGCCACTCAAGGCTTGACAGTGGTTGTGGAGGCTGCTTAAACACAAGAGTTAAAACAGGGGATTTGGAATTTACCCAGTGAAACCCAGCGATCACCTGCTCATTCCACAAAGATGATGAATGCCAGAGAGGGAGGGTGCCAGGACCTACATGCCAGGATTTAGGATGTGTACACTCTTATGGGATGCCTAGCTCTGAGTGCCCATTGCACGTCTTTTCATTGGGCTCTTTTGGCCATGGAATCTGCTATTCCCTCATTATCCCAGCAAGTTTGGGATGCTTCCACTCTGATGTCCAAGTTTCATTAAACAGAGTAATCTGAAACCTGCAGCAATCTAGTTTATGCACTGTTTTATGTGCCAGTGCCAACAAAATGTTTGTTTATATACACACATATATACACATAGATATATTTCTCTAATTATAAGTAAAATGAATCCTACATATTTAAGGACAAGTGTGTACCACTTTGGAGGAATAAACTAACAGACAGATGTGAAGTCAGAGATCAAATATACATTGCATGAAGACCATTCCAAAAATTTAAGCAAAACTATGTTTTCACTAACTGACTGAAAAGCACTGATATTTGCCTATGGATTCTGAGCAAAACAAAACAAAAACCTTTACATAAAAGGGTGCTTATACACCCTTTCTCCAACAGATTGGCAACAACAATATGAGAGATTTTTGAGGGTAAATATGGAAAGCT